ACCAGCATCTATAGATATAAGCTCACTATGTTTGCATTGTGATGCTTTAAGAAGACTCAAATCTTTAAAACTACAAAGAGAAAATCGCATTTATTAAGAACTCTATGACTAAAGATTGCGGATATATATTTTTGACAACAAGTTTACCCAGGATAATCTCGTGTATAACGCTGATAATAATTGACATTAAGATAATGCTTACTCAAAATTCGATTTTTCACCAACGATAAATAGAACAGGGCATTGAATTTCCGATATTCGATGAAATAAAGTGATTTTTGATAATTTATCAGAAAAAAATGAGTACTAATGTCGTAAAATAAAATAAATAAATAACGATAACATTTAAAAATTTAGATAATCAAATATTGAGTTATGTTGAAGAAAACTTACAAGCTCTTGAATTTTGGGACATTTTAATGTAACTTCCCCAGATGGCAATTCACGTAGCCCATATTGCTATAAAAATATTCATAACTATTAATTTGACCTTTAAACTAATAACTAATATAAAAGAAAAAATTCAAGTGATATTATTTACGATATGGAGGTTAAGTACTTCAGGGTCCCAATTTTGAAAAAACTCTTTCATAATGAAACTTGTATATGCTGCTTCTCTGTTTGTTTAATTTATTATTTTTTTTTTATAAACAAAAATCACTATTTCAGGTTTCACTCATATCATAAAGAATATCAGTTCCTACCTATTCGGCCATATATCTCTTCTTCTTTTAATCTTTAACTCTTGAAGTGGATCAATTTCTTTAATGTAACTAGGATTTATTATAGGTTCAATAGCAAGGATACTTGTAAAAGTTCCAGGACGAATAATTTCTGCAAGTAACCTACAATTATCACGTGATGTATTGAGTATATATTATATCGATATAACGTACTGATAGAAAAAAAATTCACACACATGGAATGACCACCAATTGAATGCCCTATACCAATAATCGGCTTTTTAATTTTCGCTTTGTCAATAAGTTGAAGGATATCTTGAGCAGCGTCAAATTTCATAACTAAATATAATGATCAAATAAATCTTGAATAAGAATAAAATTAACCAAAAATAATAATAGGACTTACCAGTATCTGGTAGAACATCTTGATTTAACACAGCACTATCTCCATGATTCGAAAAATCAAAAGTCCACATATCTCCACCATTCCATTGATCTCTTCGTTCATGTAATATTTTTATGATAGGATTCCATAATTCTT